AAATAAAATGAGCCCAGACTCAATTACGGTCTGCCTGAAAAGCCATGGACTGGCATCCCACCCCATTTGGAGGGCTTTCTCCTTGTTCTTGCCCCCTTTGATGCCATGAATGGCAGGACTGTGTCCAAAACATGCCGGGTTAAAAGGTGGGAATCCTAAGCTGTGTAAAGCTACCAATGTTGGCCTGGCGCAGTCCATTGAGAGAGGAGGGAGAGGAGAAGAGTTTTCCCTTTGGCAGAGGTTTTGTTCAGGGCAGAATCTCTTTCTCTATTGTTCTTTAACATCCTGGCCTTTCGATTCCCACAGCCCCAGGGACAATAGAGACACAACAGGCTTCTCTGGGGAGAAAACCTAATCTGAGAGATACCGAACTTTTCTGAAAAGCTCTTCCTCAAAAAACAGAAAAAGAAAAGGGCCCAGTGAAACCTCCCTGTTTTGGGTGTTTGTCTTATTTTATTTGGTTCCCCTGAATCAGTTGACACTTGATATGTTCGCTTTAGGTATTATTGCTCGGCATTGTCTGTCTTCTGAATGTGACCCTTGTTTCCAAAGAGAGGGCATTGGGAGGGAGAGCCATGGAGGACAGAGGTGTGCTGGATTTTCTCCCTCCAGAGATGCCAAGCTTGCTTTGTCCCTCATCTCAGCCTGAAAGGGAGACTCAAAAGGAGAGTGTAAAAGAGCAGCAAAGAACAGAAGAAGAACAAGAGCAGGAGAATCCTTTCAGCTGTTGTGAACCTCAATGGGAAAAACTGGGTCACAGCTATAGAGTGACACAGAGAAGCAGCAGCATCTAAGATGTCAGTGCAAAGCATGGCCCAACTTGCAATGGAGAAATCACTGGTGGGAAACCACTCAGTCCTTACTAAGGGTTTGTTCTTGTGAGCCTTCAACTCATTTCCAACATATGATACCCTAAGGTGAATCTATCATTGGGTTTTCTCGCAAGATTTGCTCAGAAGAGGTTGGCCACTGCTTTCCTCCATGGCTGAGAGAATGTGGTTTGCTCAAGGTTGCCCAATGGGATTCCGTGGCCAAGCAGGAATTTGAATCGTGGTCTTCCAGTCTGACACTCAAGCTTTTACACCATGTTGGTTCAATTGACGTAAATTGGACATTAGAATAATCCTTCACACCATTCATCTGATGGACTGCTATGAGCCTGATATAATATGGTTGTGGCTCTCCTCTTCAATCAGCTTATTCTCAACTGTTTTCCTCTTCTATATGGAGTAGGAGAAACACAGAAAGAAGCAGAGTTAGAACATGGGTCCATATAGCCCAGTGTTATCTTCTCCAAGAGTGGTCCTGGGACCATCTATGGCCCCATAGAGGGCAGAATCCTGTTGGCATTATAATTCAGTGTAAACACCTTTATATATGAGGTGGCACATGTGGAGGTATTCAGTAATCCTATTGTCATTCCCAACTAAGGCACAGCCATCAAATCAATTGGATTTACTTCCATGGTCACTGAATACCAAAGTCAGACTCATCCATGCCTCCACATTTCCCATTTCTATGTATGGTTGTGAAAGCTGGATAGTGAAGAAAGCTGACAGGACGAGAATCAACTCATTTGAAGTGTGGTGCCAGAGGAAAGTTCTGAAGATACCATGGACTGCCAAAACCATAAATGAATGGGTCTGAAAACAAATCAAGCCTGAAGTTTCCCTAGAAGCCAAGATAACGCAACTGAGACTGTCATACTTTGGCCATATCATGAGAAGTCATGGCTCATTAGAAAAGATAATAATGCTTGGTAAGGGAGAAGACAGTAAGAAAAGAGGAAGACTACATTAAAGGTCAATGGATTCAATCAAGGAAGCCATCTGAGTTTGCAAGACCTGAACACCATTGTTGATAAAAGGTTGACCTGGAAGTCTCAATCATAAGGCCGCCATAAGCGAAAGTTGACTTGATGGTGGTTAACAATAACAACATGTTGATTCATAATTCAACAATAATGAAGATTCGGTTTGTGACTAACCAACAGGATTCCAGCCATGCAGTTGTGCATAACTATTGTGCATTCCCCATCGGCAAGCACTGGCAGATACACAATCTCAGCAGAAGAATGGCATAGCACAACCCACCCTGGAACTACATGAGTGTAGATTGACTCTATGCAAACATGATGTAGGATCTCGTCCAGGATATTTTGCAGGCCTGTAGCTGATGTCATAAATTCCAGAATAGTACTAAAACCACAGCTGGGAAGGACCTCTCCCATGTCCTCACACAGTGTATTGCCCCAATGGGTGAGACCAGAAGAGGGCTGGCTTAGCAAACCTCATTGCGCAGCCAGACATATTTGGGCAGAGGCATGCCTTTGAGTATCCAAGGCCCAGGTTGTTTAGAGCTTTAAGTCTCATGACCATACAAACAGCCAGTGCAGTTCCTTTAAAACCATGTCCTGTGGATTTTTAAAGATGTTTCCATCAGCAACCTAACTGCTGAGTATTGCTTCCAAGTCCTTTTGAAGGACAGCCCCACATGAATTG